GTGGGTTTTGCCCCACGTTACGACTTTTCTTGCCACAGCTGTTAAATGAATCACTAGCTGTTAAGTTAGTAACATGGTTGTAAAATGAATCTGGCTTCCCCCACTGACTTTGCTTGTCAGAAGGTTGCAAAAGGTGACCTTGGGACACTGCAACTGTCCTAAGTATGAACCAGTTGCCAAACATCTGAATTTTGATCACATGACCCTGGGGATGTTGCAGCAGTCATAACTGTGAAAAATGGTCATAGGTCGCTTTTTTCAGTGCCGCTGTAACTTTGAACGGTCATTAAATGAACTGTTGCAAGTTGAGGATTACCTGTACAGTCCTCAGTATGGCAACTATCCTGGAACTCCTTTTTTCAAAAACACTTTATGACTTTACCACTAGGTGGCAACAACAGAGTATTTGCATATTCATTTTACATTAGAGAGCCTTCACAAATGTTTCCTCATAACAGTAGTATCTCAGATTTGTCTTATCATTGCTTGTTCTACTTTCAGGTTTACTTTTAGAAAATATTAGAGACAAGGAAGTGGAGCACAATTAATTGTGGCCAAGTTTTGAGAGTAAGTAACATTAGATCTTTCTTAACACTTTACTCACATTTTTTCCTTGAGATACTGATCTTTATACGTTCATATTATTATTTGTAGAAATAAAATTTTAAGGCAACATCCCAACTGGATGTTGGCTGGATAGAGAGCACAACATGAACATGACAATGGATGATTTTTGTACATGTATCTGTGTCCTGAGGCAAGNAGTTTCTGAGCCAGTACGTCCTATGTCAGTCAATGGCTTCGCTCGCGTCAAGACTGGAATCTAGGGTCCAGGACGGGCGTGGCAACTTTGGCTGACTTAATCTGATTGGGCAGGAATACAGTCTACTACCCATGGGTGGATCCTCCATCTCCGTGCTGAGAAAAGGCGTTCAGGTAAGACAACGCCCCTTCTACATAATGTTGCTTGTCCCAAAAGGGATTAGCATAAGATGCATGTGTTCAGTATGTGTACAGTATGTTTTGTGAAGCCAGCCTTAGTGGTTTGTAAACTATGACTTAATGTTTTGTGCAAATTCAGATACTTATTTATTTAGTGATTTACAATTAAATAATAGTAAACCCAGCCATTTTATTCATGTGGGATTTATATAAAAGTTGAGATGTTCTGGGAATAGATGCAGAGTTAGACAGTATTTTCATTTTTACAATGATAGTAAGACTGAGGCAGAGGGAAGTGGAGGGCTGTTTCTTCTTTATCCCCTCCATGCCAAACTTCCTATTGACTTGAATGGCAGGAAAAAGAGTGTTAATTGTACAGTAATTAAATTGCACTGCCATCACGGCTTAGAGAATCAGTGAGGTTACAATGATTAAAAATTGGATTAGCATTGAGAAAACCCAGAGAACCTTCAGCCATAGAAAACTTGGTGTCTACAGACTAGTCGCCCTGTTTCAGACTCAATTATCTTGTGTATTGTTTTTGGTGTTGGATTGCTATTTTCAGGAAATATAGGAGGAGGAAATGTTAAGTATGCCTCCTTTGCCTCTTGAAGGAAAGATGAGATATAAATCTAATGATAAATGTCAGAGAAATAATGGGAATTTGGATACAACTGCCATCCTGCGCCTAGCCATTGCACTAGTCAGAGAAGGTGGCACATCTATGTATGTGAGGGAGATGGAGGGTTCAGAAATGTGATAGATAGATAGATAGATAGATAGATAGATAGATAGATAGATAGATAGATAGATAGATAGATAGATAAATAAATAAATAGATAAACAGAACAGAATCGAGGAGTTGGACAGGACCTTGGAGGTCTTCTAATCCAACCCCCTAAGCAAACAGGAAATCCTATGCCATTTCAGACAAATGGTTGTCCAATCTCTTCTTAAAAACAGCTCTCTTGGTAAGGTAGGGAATTTCTGAAGGTAGGAAGTGTAAATTTGCTGATGATACGCATGTCAGCACAGGAGGTGGAGATGGCCTGATGACCATGCCAGCTTCCTTGAGTCTACTACACAAACATGGAAAAGCTGAAGAATAGCACCCTGATGAAGTTAGGAGATGATTTTGCATAGTTGGCAAGGTGCCTCATCTCTTCCTTTGTTTCCTGATAATGAGCTAGGAGTGACATTTTCATGGTGACCTGGCAACAGAGTGAATTGGTAATTTTCTAAATCTTAATTAACAATCCTTAGAGCAAAACCTATCTATCTGAGTCTACCTTATATGGACTGCAAATCTGAACATTAGATTGGAACAAAATATAGAAATTGCTGCTGTTCTCTGCTGTCCTCTAATGGCCATCCATATTTCTACATATTTAGATACAGCAGACTAATACAAGATGAGGGGGACCGTCAATGAGTTCAGCCACATGTCCCGCTAAGCAGGAAGATGCCCGCAGACTGCATTGAAATGACATCTATTAATGTTACTTTACAAGTGGCTTATTTTGCAGAAGTGTGTCCATTCACTTCAAAAAATAGAAACTAAATATTCAACTACAGGTACTGCTTGATGTACGATCACAATTGAGCCCGACAGGCATGTTGCTAAGCAAAGCAGTTGTTAAGTGAGTTTTGCCCCATTTTACAACCTTTTTTGCCACAGTTGTTAAGCGAACAATTGTCGTTATTAAGTAAATCATGTAGTCGTTAAGTGAATCTGGTTTCCCCCATTGTCTTTGCCTGTTGGAAGCTGGCTGGGAAGGTTACAAATGGTGAACATGTGATCCCAGGACAATCCAAATACATGCCAGTTGCCAGGTCCCTGAATTTTGATCACACGATCATAGGGGTGCTGCAATGGTCATAAGTGTGAAAAATGGTCATAAGTCATTTTTTTCAGTGCTGTTATAACTTCAAACAGTTACTAAACGAATGGTTGAAAGTTAAGGACTACCTGTACTGAAGACATTTAAATTAAATTAATTAAATTATCTGGATCGATAACTGTAGTACCCACAAGGAACACAATTCATTGAAACATTTTCTTGTATCTAATATACAGCCAGTATTCAAAATAATAAAGATTAAAAAAATAAGAGATAAAATTCTTTTAGATAGTCCTAAAAAATTTTTTTTTCTACCTTTGAGTACATTTTTGATTTCTAGTGACTGCCTGGACTAGTCTCTGCAGTTTTCTTGGCAATATTGTTTCAGAAGTGGTCTGCCCCTGCCTCTTTCCTAGGGCTGAGAGAGAGGGACTGATCCAAGGTCACCCAGCTGGCTTTGTGCCCAAGGCAAGTCCAGAACTCATGGTCTTTTGGTCACTAGTCTGATGCCTCCACCACTACCCAAACTGGCCTTAGCTCTGAACATTGGCATTCCACAATACTCACAAACACTAATACAGTAAGGTGGAAGAAGTGCTGACTTTTTGTCTTTGCTATACAACCACGTTACCACTTACGACCACAACTGAGCCCAAAATTTCTGTTGCTAAGTGAAACATTTGTTAAGTGGGTTTTGCCCCACGTTACGACTTTTCTTGCCACAGCTGTTAAATGAATCACTAGCTGTTAAGTTAGTAACATGGTTGTAAAATGAATCTGGCTTCCCCCACTGACTTTGCTTGTCAGAAGGTTGGAAAAGGTGACCTTGGGACACTGCAACTGTCCTAAGTATGAACCAGTTGCCAAACATCTGAATTTTGATCACATGACCCTGGGGATGTTGCAGCAGTCATAACTGTGAAAAATGGTCATAGGTCGCTTTTTTCAGTGCCGTTGTAACTTTGAACGGTCATTAAATGAACTGTTGCAAGTTGAGGATTACCTGTACAGTCCTCAGTATGGCAACTATCCTGGAACTCCTTTTTTCAAAAACACTTTATGACTTTACCACTAGGTGGCAACAACACAGTATTTGCATATTCATTTTACATTAGAGAGCCTTCACAAATGTTTCCTCATAACAGTAGTATCTCAGATTTGTCTTATCATTGCTTGTTCTACTTTCAGGTTTACTTTTAGAAAATATTAGAGACAAGGAAGTGGAGCACAATTAATTGTGGCCAAGTTTCGAGAGTAAGTAACATTAGATCTTTCTTAACACTTTACTCACATTTTTTCCTTGAGATACTGATCTTTATACGTTCATATTATTATTTGTAGAAATAAAATTTTAAGGCAACATCCCAACTGGATGTTGGCTGGATAGAGAGCACAACATGAACATGACAATGGATGATTTTTGTACATGTATCTGTGTCCTGAGGCAAG